TGTTCTATTTGTTCTCACCACTGGGTTATAAGCTCTGTGAGGACGGGGATTGTCTCTCTTGTTCTCCATTATGCTCCCAGCACCTCCTACATGAGAGCAGAGAAGCGGAAGGAATGAAGAAATGAGCTATATACAAGCAGCCTCCAGACAGCGTTCCAGAGGCTTCTGGAAGCACAGCAAAACTCGACCACAAGAACTTATTTAAACTGCACGGATTTAGCAGGGTATTGTGCCCATGCTTACCACTTTGGCTTTCAGGAAGCCAAGGCAGAAAGATCTTGAGTTCAAGGCCAGTCTCTCAGTAAACGAACAACTACAGAACCCAAACTCCCTTTCCAAACTTCAGTCCCAAAACTAGGGGTGCCAATGTATCATATCAAGATTGGAAATGGACAGAGGTCCATGGGTTCACAATGTGCCCCACACAGCCTTCCAGATTCTGGCACAGAGTAAGACATGTGATAACTATAATTACTGTGGGAAGCAGAGAAATCACCAAAAGGGAAAATTCCCAGGAGCTTTGATACATTACTTGTTGTGAGGCCCACTGCTTTGGGTGCGTCAACCCTCCGCCTTATAGCACCCCCATCTCTTCTACCGAAGCTTCTTATCATTACCAGCCAGATCTGCTGCCAGCCAATCTCATGCGCTCCCTGGGTCTCATTTGTGGGTGACTCCCTTTCTTATTAAACCTTTCTTAATCTTCAGTCTTCTTTTCTTGTATCACAGAGACTTTCAATAATGAAACACAATGACATATTCTATTTGAAGAGGAATTATAAAATGAATTAATCAGAAAGGTAAAGTTACTTTTAACAAGTAATTTATAATTAAATGATGTTTTTCATCTGCGTAAAATGTCACTCACACCAAGAGCTTGAAAGCTGGGCCCCCAGATAAAATGTTTGGAAAAAGACTTTTCACATCCAACCTACAAGGTCTGGATAATCAACTGCTCCTAGCATTTTCGATAATCTTTACTCGTTCTGTTGCTGTCTGGCTGAAAGCAAGTTGCTGAGGAAAGGGTTTTATTTCAGCTTACCCTTCCTCCAGTGTTGGATTGGGATAGTATGCTGAGTCCTCTAACGCCAATTAGCAATAAAGGAAATGCCCCCAGGCCAATCTAATGGAGGCTCTGCCCCAATCCAAGCTCCCTATTCCCAGATGTGCCCAGTGGACCAACAGGATTTGCCATCTCGTCTTATTAAACAAGAACAAGGAACGACACCACAGAGCTGGAACTGAGGGGAATGAGTTCAAGTCTTTGAAGCACTTTGTATCCCCTTCTTTAAACTTGACATTCCTCCAGGATCTCTTGCTTTGGGGTAAACCTTCTGGACAATTCTCAGTGTCGTTGTCCCCAGGAGCTCAGCTTGAGTACTGATCAGTGACTAAAGCTAATGTCATCTGCAGACTTAGCGTTGGAGTGAGTAGGTACCCTTAAGGGAATCGAGAAAGTTGGGGTTTGAACTGAAATGATTTCTGGGAATGTAGCAGACTGTGAAACTACTGACTGTTTGTAGTGCTTCAGGGTTAAAACACCCCAAGTTATGATCACAAAGAGTCCAGCACAGAGGGAATCTAATGGCTCTGTATCTTCTAAGTCACACACTGGCCCCCACTGAGCCAATTTTTACCAAACAAAGTTCTTTTTTGTGAAACCAATAACCTGTTGATACCAAGAGTGACATGAAAGGAAAAGACAAAGGGTAATCAAATAGGTCAAAACTAAAAAAGTCACAATTTAGGGCTACATGATCAAATTCTACAATCTCTCCTGGCTTCTGTTTTGTACTTTGAAAGCCGGTAACTGTATCTGCTTAGAGGATTAATTAGATTAGGCATGTTAATGAAAACAATAAGGATGTGACGGGGGCAGATGGCCACTGTACACAAGGCTGCTTCCTACCTGCGCTCTCCGTCTCTCTGTGACTCTGCAAAGAAGCCTTCCTTTCAGTTCTGCTATTCTGCCTGCGCCTCTTGAGCTTGGATTAGGAAGCTCTTAGCAACCTCTCCTCTCACTGTGCTGTGGCTTAAAAGTCGCTCACCTCATCAGTGGTGATGTATGCTCTGATCTCAGCACCCAGGAGGTGGAGGCAAGGGCACCCAGAATTCAAGGGCTGCTTCAAACTACTCAGGGAGTTAAGGGCCAGCTTGGGCTACAGGAGAGAGAGAGAGAGAGAGAGAGAGAGAGAGAGAGAGAGAGAGAGAGAGAGACTGTGTGTGTTTCTTAACCTTGTTTAACTTTTGGAGATGTGTCCTCAGGCCAGCACAGAACCATGTTCAAAAGTTATGAAATATGACATTTAGCTTTCTTTTCAATTTCTTGAATTGAAATTGCCCCTACCAATTTCCCCTTGTTCCTCTGAAAACTAAGGTCTAGGTGACATTTTTTCTTGGTTTTTCCATAGGTATATTGCCTGCAAAAGTGAATTAGTCTCACGCTCTTCAAGTATCTGATGCAATAACCCCCCATTGTTACAAAGCACAACCTCCAAAGGATCCATTTTTAAAGATCCGTGCATACTGTCCAATGTCGGGACTGGGATGTAGGTCAGTTGGTAGAGTGTTTGATCTTACCTAACACACATCAAGCCCTAGGTTTAATTCCTCAGTACTATATAAGCAAACTGTGGTGGCACATGCCTGTAATCCCAGGACAGACAGAAATAGGAAAGACAAAGGTTCAAGGCCATCCCCAGCTACAGAACAGTCTTGAGACAAGACCGTGCTACAGGACACTTTGTCTCATGAGACAAGACCATGTTACAGGACACCCTGCCTCAAAAAGAAGAGTTGCCCAAACCACAGTTCTGATTTTTCATTTTGTTTTTGATATGGCTGAGGTGTAAAAGAATTGTTTACTGGTCTGTGATGTCGAATTTCTCTTCAGAAGCCATACCGCTAAAGACACCCAAGTTGTCAGGCCGTTGTTGAGTAGAGCATCACGATTGTGAAAGATTAAATATTGTACACACCATCAAAATTGTCTTGGGCTATCTTTAAGAAAAGTAGCCACTTGGTTTTCTGATTGAATATGCCTTATTAAACGCACTACGCACATGCTACTAAACAGTGTGGAGTCCATGGATAGGTAACATCACTGTCTCTTGGGGCAAACTCTTATGTTTAGCCTTTGCCGATGGCTTTACATCCTGGTGACTATCAGGTAGCTCCTTGGAATTTGTCGTTAAGCTTGGTAGGCCTCTAACCATGACCAACCCTAAAGCTAAAGATATTTGATAGCAGCTGAAATCTATGCAATACATTTCCTCACTTTGCTGCTGCACACCTACCTAAAGCCCCCACAAATGTACTTGCTGAATGTATTGATTTATGATATTCTTTGTTCTGTGGATATAAAAGTGTGTGTGTGTGTGTGTGTGTATATATATATATATATTCTTTCATTTTAGAGAACACCATCCAAAGTAGCTTCAATACATGTTCCCAGAACATAGCCACTTGGATTTGGCTCAGAATAAGCCATTTGTTTCCTTTAAAGTAGGGTCCTTATATATAGATAGGACTTATTGGCTTATACACACACACGCACACACATACACACACACACACCTTTAAAAATAGGTTTCCTGTATAAGAGAATACTACATGTGACATTAATATTTCTAAGTCTGGCTTATTTCACTTAACATAATGGTTTCCAATTCCATCCATTTTCCTGCAAATATCATTTCATTTATCTTTATGACTGTGTAAGATCCCATTGTGTCTGTACCATATCGCCTTCATTCATTCTTTTGTTGGTGTGCATCTAGGTTGATTCCATTTCCTGGCTGTTGTGAATAGTGCAGCAATAACCACAGATGCTATTGTCCCAAGTCCAATGGTCTTTCAGACTGTCTCTCTCTGTCTCTTTCTGTCTCTGTCTCTCTCAGTCTCTCAGTCTCTGTCTCTCTCTCAGTCTCTCTGTCTCTGTCTCTGTATCTCAGTCTCTCTGTCTCTGTGTCTCTCTCACTCTCTCTGTCTCTTTCTGTCTCTGTCTCTCTCAGTCTCTCAGTCTCTGTCTCTCTCTCAGTCTCTCTGTCTCTGTCTCTGTATCTCAGTCTCTCTGTCTCTGTGTCTCTCTCAGTCTCTCTGTCTCTTTCTGTCTCTGTCTCTCTCAGTCTCTCAGTCTCTGTCTCTCTCTCAGTCTCTCTGTCTCTGTCTCTGTGTCTCAGTCTCTCTGTCTCTGTGTCTCTCTCAGTCTCTCTGTCTCTGTCTCTCTCAGTCTCTCTGTCTTTGTGTCTCTCTCAGTCTCTCTGTCTCTCTCTGTCTCTGTGTCTCTCTCTGTCTCTGTCTCTCTCAGTCTCTCTGTCTCTGTCTCTCTCTGTCTCACACACACACACCTACCACCACCACGCCGCTGTAGTCAGAGAGCAGAGCATACTGAAGCTGGTGTACCATCCATCCTCCTAATTAATGATCAAAACTCATTGGAGCTGAGGTGCTGCTCTCCCAATAGACAGCTATTTTTAAAATATTTCTCTTTGAAAACAACAGCATGATTAATCCCATTATTCCTACTTAAATTACTTATTGAGAAACAGCCATGCTCTGTAAGCAATTATTAAAAATGCTTTATTATGTGTAATTTGCACATGCTTCAATTTGTGTTGCTTAGGGTAATTTATTTGCCAGGGTGTGATGTCATCTACCAAAATTAACTAGATCTAATTTTCATTCTGACACGCCACATACAAAAATACAGTTTTAATGCAAAGTTCCTCTTCTCCCCAGAAAGGTTCTCAAGAAAGTGTCAGATGAATAAAGCAAGAAAAGAATACTCTGCACACACGCCGACACCATGCAAGGCATTATCCTTCACACAGTAACGTCAAATGCGTTCTTTTATTTTGAAACAGCACAGAGAGAGAGGCCATTCACCCTCCGAGGGGGATGCAGACTTTATTGTTGCTAAAGCCAGGTTCCAGGGGAAAAGAGTGATCCTGTGGGGAAAAGAAGGGGTGTGGGAATGTAATGTGGAGGCTGTCGAGCCTTCATAAGCACTTCAAGAGGAAGGAGTTGCAGGAAGTTCCTCGGGGACAGTCACACAGCTTTCCGATCCTGGCCCCTTTCCGCACTGCGCACTGCTCTCCGGCGTCACACTGTCAACAACACAACCGGTGGTTATACGGGTCCCAAAGGAGCGGTCTCCGAGAAGAACGGCTAGACCGCTACCATCACCTCTAAGTACAGTCAGATCCGAAGCCCGGAGAGCCTGAAGCCACGGGCTTATAATTTCAGAAAGAGGACATTTAAAGGAAGAAAATTAAATGGTTGATTCCCCTCCTACATTGTTCTGCCTTTGGGAGCTACTGCATTTTCAGCTTCCTTTTCTTGTAAATTTAAAGAGGGAAGAATTACCTAGACCCTTGCATCTAAGAAATGCACAATACACTTTCTACTTTCTCACCTCCTCACCCAAAAGAAAGCAGGTGTGTGTGTGTGTGTGTGTGTGAGAGAGAGAGAGAGAGAGAGAGAGAGAGAGACAGAGAGACAGAGACAGAGAGACAGAGACAGAGAGACAGAGACAGACAGAGACAGAGACAGAGACAGAGACACAGAGACAGAGAGGGAGGGAGAGAGAGAGATTTTACCTAGAACTGTTCCCACATAGGTGACCCGTTCTGAAAACTTTTTATTACGGAATTTAAGAAACAAAACAACAACGAAATGATAAAGAAAAGCCCCGCCATGCTCTAGGAGAAATTAAGGGACAACTGCGTAGATTTAAGGGCTCATCCAACTACGATGTTTCGGGAAATACTCCCACTCACATCACGGGACTGTTTTCTGGCTCTACAAGCCTGTGTTCCCTTACACTTAGGGACCAGGGAACAAAGGGCGAGAGCAGAAGCAAAGCATCACCTGAGCTGCTCCGCCACCTGCTAGAGTAAAGACCCTGTGTAAGATGGCAGTCCTTTCTCCTTGAAAAGTAAGGGAAGGGTGACCCAGAGCCTTACCATGGGGACTTGGCCGTACTTCTTCTCATAGATCGGAATGCGTTTACTCTTGAGCTTCTTCAGAACTTCCTGCAGCGCTTCAATCTGCAACACAGCGCCAGGAGCCCGAAGTTGCCGCCTTGGCTGCGAGCCCAGCGCAGGTGCTCACTTTCAGCTCAGTTACACGGAGCCCAAGACACACAACCGTAGGGTGGCGGGACTCGGAAGACGGACAAGTAGGGGGTGGAGTAGTGGATAGATGGTGATGGAGAGGAAGCCCTGCGGGCGAAGTCCCTAGTCCTGACCTCACCCCCCAGAGCCTCCAAGATGCACAGTGCCCAAAACAGTCACAACCAGGGATTCGCTCGACATGCAACCCGTAGCCTGTGGACTCAAATATCTTTGTCTGATAGCGAGTACCAGGACTTTATTTTTTAAACAGGGCTCCAGGGACTCAGCCCTCCTGATGGGACATGAGCGAAGGAGGGACGCATGCCAAGGAAGGGCCCCGCGGCAGCCCAGGGGGATCCCGAGGCAAGTGGAATACTGACCAGCTCCTTTTCATGGGACGCATCGTCCACGGCAGAGTAGATGTCCAGGGCTCGGGGCTGCAGCTCGGCATCCTCCTGGGCACGGACACCCAGCAAAGGTAGCAGTAGCAGCAGGGCGGCGCCCAGGAGGGGCAGCAGCCGCAGGCGGGAGCTCTCCATGGTGCTGGACCTCGTCGTTGCTGGGGCACCGCGCTCTCCTGCTTCTTATAGCCGGCTGAACCCCGTGCCGGGAAGAGGGAGGGGGCGAGGAAGGACGGGGGTGTGGAGGAGGGCCCGGGTCAGCCGTCTGTAGGCAGCGCTCCGCTGCCGTTTGACGTCAATGCCCGCTGGGCTCCGGGAGCCCGGGAACGAGGCTCTGCGCACAGATGGGATAGAGCGCAGAGAACAAGACCCCGTGCCCCAAATGCTGTCGGCCCCGCGGCCAAGGACGCTCCCTGAGGGGGCAGAGCTGAAACTGAGGGGTAAAAGGCGAGGGATTGGAAGCGGGAGGGCCCGTGAAATGGAAAATGCCTTCGGGGCAATGAACAGGCAGACGAGTTGCTTCCCTTAGCTTAGCGGTGGTGGATGCGCCACAGTCTTGCTTTTAGGCTCTACCTTGTTCTCTCATCACCAAGCCCTTTTCCTCCAGCAGGCTCCTTCTCTGAGCACAATCCTAGGCAAGCTAGGCGGGTGAGGGAGACAATCGGCATACTAGACAAAGGGAGAGTGTGTCCTCCCGCACCAGGGGCTCTGTGGAAACTAAGTGATGTTGATGACCTGGAAAGGAGAATAACCCAGCTCAAGAGCTGAGCAGGAGCCAAAGAACCCGACACTGGTTCCAGTCCTGGCTCAGCACTTCAGAACTGTGTGCCTTAGAACGGAGTGGACCTCACTGAGGGAGCTGATAGATCGTTCAATGGCTTTGAAAGGCCTGAGTTCGGTTCCCAGCACCACCCCCGCAGGTACCTACACATATAAACATGACTAAAACTAAAGTAATATATTCTTAAACTCTCTGAACCTCTAGCTTTGTTTTGTAAAACTGAAATTGAAGGAATGTAGCTCATAGCCACTGGAAGTGTGGAAGGATAGCTCTTGTGTGCCCAGTTCTTTGCCCTTGCCACAATAAACACTAAGCTTCCAGGTCCCTTTGCTTAGAACTGTGAAGCCATCTAAGAGTGGTGTGTGCCCTGCCTCAACTTTTAACTCCGAGCAAACTTAGCCATCCACAGAACTCCTCCTTCCCGTTGTCTCTGGTACCCAAGAATCCCAGGAGGAAAAAAAAGGTGTGGAAAAATGCAGCATGCTGATTCTGGAAAGATCTCAAGAGATCAGAAGCCAATGGTCAGCCAGGTCCTCTGGCTTAGAAAAACATACAGTAGTTAGTGGTTTTGTGAAGTTAAAGTCCTTGCACCCTGAGTGCAAACAGCGGCTCCTGTGGAAATGACGCTTTTCCACGTGGACCTAGAAGCAGTCACATTTGCTGGTTGATCTGGCTTCCTCCATCATGCCCTCTTCCTCCCAGCGGCTCCTGAGTGTGCCCATTCTTCCCCATCCCTATCACCAAACCGCAGTCCTGGTCAACTGCCCCAGCCTGCCTACAGTCTGCTTCTTAATCCCTGCCCCCTTCTCTTGCCTTCCTCTAATTCACAGTTCACCGGCCATCATAGTGTTGTGTCCCTAAATAATGACTTCTCAGTGGGATGCTACATTCCCCATCCTGTTATAGGAATTATTGCATTATCTGCACCTCATTCCCTGCCACAACTCCTGCATCTCTGCCCTTGCTGACCTCCTCCTTGATTGCTGGCTTCCTCCTTGATTCTCGAATTAGCCAATCTTCCTTCTACTTTGATGCCTTTTCATTTACCTTGCCTGGAAATGTCTTCCTACCATTGTTAAATGGCTCACTATTTCTTGTGACATAAATCTCAATTTGTAAATATCCATGGCTGCTCAGTCTCAGGCATCCTTCAGTTTATTCTTCTACAGCCTTATTGATTAACACATGATGTGGATCGCTGAAATAGTTAATACAGAATATGGATCTGTTTTCTTCAATTATTAAGGCTTTCATTATCACCCAAATGTGTATTTGGGTGAAATTCAAGAACTAACATCTCTTCTGATAGGTAGTATGTTTTTATATTTATTTGGGGTAAGTCCAACCTGAAAATGTGTCTAACACCTCCCCCAAGTTCTGCTTTTCACTTATGCCTTCTTAATTCTGCCTGAAATTTCAACCGCAGCTCATTTTAGCATTTTAAGCCTTAAACAGATGCAATGGCACTCACTGCAAAAAGTCTCCAGCGACCTTAAACATAGTCCACATCCCAGAAGAAAAATAACTCCAAGTAACAGCTTAGCCCATCCTCCTGCAAGGATGTGAACACCCCCAGCGCAACGCTATCTCTCAGACTTCGTCCCCAAGTGCAAGTACTAGCTTTCCCACTTGTGCCTTTTCTGTTAGGGAAGCAACTCAAAGAGCCAAGTCCTGATGATACTCGCCTTCACAAAAGCAAAACACTACACAGAGTTGAATGGTTAGGGAAAGGAATCTTGAGCCATCCTGCGAAGCAAATCGCGCATACCAAGGTCATTACAAACCACAGTGCCTTTTACTTCTTGAGAAGAATGACCTTCTAGAGCAGTGGTTCTCAGCCTTCCTAATGCTGAGATCTCTTAATAGAGTTCCACAATCCCCAACCATAAAATTATTTTCATGGCTACTTCATAACTCTAATTTGCTACTGCTATGAATTATAGTATAAATATCTGATATGTAACACTGGTGAAAGGGTCATTCTTGGGTTGAGAGGGGTCATGACCCATGGGTTGAGAAACGCTGTTCTAAAGTATCTTGAAAGAATGCTGTGTAGTAAAGCTTGGGCAATGTTCTTCCCAAAAATATTTTTGTTCATCTGACATAGTGAAGGAACAAAGAATAAAATGTTCTGTAATCTTTATAGCATGTCATCAGGACAGCTTATGTGTCAGACTGCTTTTTAATGAAGCCATTAAAGGTGTAAAGCCCACTTTTGATACCCAAAAGCTAAGCATTATGGTAATAGCTGGGGCTAGTTAAGTGACTCAGCAGGTAAAAACACTTACCGGGAAATCCTGGTGACCTAAATTCAATCCCTGAAGCCTACACAAAAGTAGAAGAAGAGAAATGACTTTATAACATTGTCTTCTAACCTCTACATATGCTTCATGGCACTTGTGCCCACATAGGCATCATGCATGTGCAAATACACAATCATAATACTTTTTAAAATAATTGTATGGTAACTATCAGAGTGAGTTTATCAGATTTGTTAAACACATCTTTAGGCTGGACAGTGGAGGTGGTGGTGGCACACACCTTTAATCTCAGCACTCGGGAAGCAGAGGCAGGTGGATCTCTGTGAGTTCAAGGCCAGCCTAGCCTACAGAGCATGTTCCAGAATAGCCAGGGTTATGCAGAGAAACCTTGTCTTGAAAAACCAAAGATAGAAAAAAGGAAACAATCTTTACACTTAAAAAAAGGTAAACTGTTCTGCTTAAAATACTTGAAGCAACTAAATTATTAGAATACAATGCAATTTCCTTTTCAAGGCTCCTAGTGTGTTTATGGTTTGGGTCCTAGCTTCTTCTCCAGCATCAGCAACCGGCACTCCTTTCCTCCCCTCCTGTATTCAGGCCACACTGACTTCCTCTTTATTCCTATAATAAACCAATTCCTTTCTCAGCCCAAAGTAATCCAAAGAGAGAAAAGAATGTGTCTAAATTGTACTGGAGCAAATGAAGATGTGCATAAAATAAATTAACCTCATTTATTCTTCACATCATACATAAAAACTGCCTTGAAATAGACTGTAGACCTCAATTTAAGAACTAAAACTATAACACTCCTAGAAAAACCACTTCGAGAAGAAAATATTTCCAGAAGGAAATCTTTGCGGACTGAGGTAAGAAAAAGGTTTCTTTCATTTTTAATTAAAACATATTTACATCATTTTCCCTCACCCCTCCTCTATACAATCTCCTTTGGCTCCCTTTTTTTTTTTAAACAAGAGCCTCTTGATTTCTTTAGGTGTTATAGTTATAGATGCCTAAATATATAAATACAACCTGCTCAATCCATGAAGTGTTACTTGTAGGTATATGATATGTAGGTATATGTAGGCCATCCCTTTAATATTGGATAACTAATTTTAGGGGGCTTGCCCTTGAGGACTATTTTCGCACTTTTGCTTTGGTTGCCTGTAGTTCTTTGTCTATTAAATAATTTTAAAGTGATCATTGAAATTAATCATTATTTTTCATCCCAAATATAGAAAAAGAAAGTGGGTCACCTCACAAAAGAAAGGCACTGGGAAGCATATGTCTACAGAGGTGTATAGAGGGCTGATCTCCCTTACCCTGAGATAGAGTAGGCCTGTAGGTCTGCTCACCGCAGCCTCGAGTACAAAAGTCTCATCAGCAAAGAGCAAGGCAACACGCGTCAGCAAGAGCTACTGAGGATATGTAGCTTTCTGAGAGGAAAATGTCAGGCCTGAGGCACTTCCAATTCACACCTATCTCTTAGAGTTTTGAACCTTTTTCAATAATATTAACAAAAATAAACGTTGATTAATCTGTAATGTGACTTGGCAAAGAAAACAGTATCTGATATTTTGGTAGAAGAAGAAGAAGAAGAAGAGGAGGAGGAGGAGGAGGAAGAAGAGGAAGAAGAAGAGATTTTTATAGCCTAATTGGTATTACTAAATGAGAGCCCCACAGTTCCCAGAGATCAAACGATGAAATGAGGTCATGGTGAAACAAAATACTAAAATCATAGCTCCCCTTTCCCCCAAGCTCCTGTATTTCTCTCCCTTAAATTTTGAACACTGTCTCTTCCTTTACAGACCAGGCTAGCACTGGCTTGTTAGGTCATCATACCATTTAAATGTCAGGCCACCGTGTTATCCATTAGCCCTCTTTCCACCCATTCTTCCAACCATGCTTTGATCAACAGCAGAACCTCATCTTCTTAACTTCTTAATACTTGTTTTTAAGACTTTGTCTTCCCTTGAATTAGCTTCTCTTCCTCCAAGCATCCCTTGTTCTCCCTGGAACACTGTGCAAGCTCTAAGATGGCACCCATTTCTATTTCTGCACTGTCTCCTTTGCTTCCTTAACAGATTCATTGTCGTTGA